CTATTCTCCCGGTACTTCGTAGATACGGGCAAAGCACTATGAGCATTTTAAAAAGGTTGGGTCTGCAAAGGTATAAGATCATCGGCTTGCCGAAGATAGCCTTTCTTTCTCGTTTTTTTATACCCTTGCAGAGGGTATTATAATTTTGTCGTGTCGAGACATCTCCGACCCCATATCTATTCTTGATAGTCGATAGAGGCATGTCCGTCTGTCCGTCTGACCGTCTGTCTGTTTCTATGCTAACTAGTCTCTGAGTTTTAAAGTTATCTTAATGAAACCTTGCAGAAAGCTGCCATAGGAACGATCGGTCGAAAATTAAGTTGTTGTATAAAAACCATTTTGTTTTTCAAGATATCTTGACCAAACTCGGCAATTAATAGTTTTACTATACTCCTCATATAAATGCAAAATCCCATTAAGATCGGACCGCTATATCATGTAGCTGCCATAGGAACGATCGGTCGAAAAGTAGATTATTGTATGAAAACCATTTTGTTTTTCAAGAAATCTTGACCAAACTCGGCATTTATTTCTATTACTATACTCTCATATATATGCAAAAGCCTATTAAGGTCGGACCACTATATCATATAGCTGCCATAGGAACGATCGGTCGAAAACTATGTTGTTGTATGAAAAAACATTTTGTTTTTCAAGATATGTTGACCAAACTCGGCATTTATTACTTTTACTATACTCTTATATATATGCAAAATCCTATTAAGATCGGACCACTATATCATATAGCTGCCATAGGAACGATCGGTCGAAAATTAAGTTGTTGTATGAACAAACATTTTGTTTTTCAAGATATCTTGACCAAACTCGGCATTTATTAGTTTTACTATCAACATCGGAGCACTATATCATATAGCTGCCATAAGTGCAATCGGTCTAAAGCCAGGTTTTTGATTGAAAACCTTTTTTGGTTATTAAGATATGCATGAACAGGCCAAACCCCTTAATAATTTCACACAACTGCTTACTTGAAAGAGAGTGCGTCAATTTTTGTCCGTTCTTAAATTCGCATCATCAGCAGCGACGTTGTGCGCTGAGCGAGATGCGGCTGCGTACTGAAAGTTCGCCTTTTGAGGTCGGCGTTCGGATGCCACTCTTAGCAGTCTTACTCTGTCTGGGCACACTAAAATGGTCGCAGGTACCATTGGGGTCGCCTCGTTTCGATTTTTCTTGCTTCGATAAAAAGTGACATTTTGTATGTGTGTACATTGTATATTTATTGCTTCGACTCATTGAGATCTTGCTGATGGTTTGGTTCAAACTTTGCTGGTAAAAATAGATCTTCTTCTGAATTATGATATTCTGTCTAATGCCAATGCTTTTCAATCTTGTATTTAAAGATTGTATGCCTTTAAGGCATTGTTTGGCATGCTCTTGTGTAAGTTTATCTTTAATGGAATCTACTGCATGTACTATATTGTTCTATTGTTTTATCAATATTTGTACATAATAGTTTTTCTACCTTTATAGATATGCCTTTATTGATGCATTTATATGACTTGTCAAATTGGTCTTTGAAGTCATTGATATTTTTTACTAATATACTCCATTCCATATTATTAAAGTAGATATCTATCGATGCAGTCGCACTATTAGTATCGTTACTGGTCCCAAATTTGGGTGTTCTTCAGTTAATAGTTTCACTGAGACATATGGTACTTATTATGATTCCCTTTTCGATTTTTGAACAATGTATCAATGGACCCATATGAATATTGAACATGTCCGTTTATTCGTATTCGAAATCACACACTTTTATAAAATCTCTATGTAATCGCAGTACGTTTAGTTCGCGAGTACGAAAGTTTGGCTCATCTCTATATGTAAACCTAATGATTGCCTCTATATCTGACATATTCAAATATATTCATACCTTATCTAGTCCGTGTGACATGTAGTGTTTTTAGTTTTTAATGGCAATGTTTTCTCAATATGTAATGTTTTTAGATTCAAGGTTTCAATATTGCTTATAGCACAAAATACTACCTAGCATTTCGCATAGCTTTACGTGCTATGCTGCTAATCGGGCGGAGGTATATCCGCTCAATTTTGCAAAAAAAAATTTTTTTCTATTTAATTAAAAGTAATTAAGGATATAACTGCAACTGTTGTTCATCGTTGCATCAGCTGGGCGTCTCCGGATGTGGCACGCTGATGCTCCCTCGTATGCGGTAGTGGCGGTGTGCCTCTCGCACTTATTCCGATGGCACAGCTTGTTGCGTTGGCGGTACCGGTGCTGGTCTTCGCACAGGTGTTTATTTGTTGGATGTAATGTTTGGAGGTGCCGGCTGTGCAGTGTCTGCACGTATATTCGCAGAAGGGGCTGTCGAGTGGGCCTTCGCAATCCTGTGGGGACATTCGTTTTTCTTTTGGTAGGCTGTTTGCGGCAATGGGTGTAACTTTATTAGCTGTTTGGTTTATTAGAGCTTTTATATTTGAGTGAGTAGTGGTGTTTGGTTTTCTCTGCTTAATTTCATTTTTCAGATATTTGAGCACATTTTGTAACTTCTGAGCTGTCGACCATGCGGGTGTTGTCTGTTTTGTGTATAGCAGCCACCTTAGGTGCGCTTTTCTTTTATTAATTTTATTTTTTAAGCCTCCGCGTTTTTGAACCATAACACTCACTCTCTATTCACTCAGAATACGGTATGCTCAATGTCCAAGTTACGACGGCAGTTGTTATAGATGCCTCTCGTTGATCATGAAGTTCCTTTTCCACTTTGATATTATAGATGACCTCTTTGTTGGCCATAAAGTGCCTCTCGTTGATCATGAAGTTCCTTTTCCACTTTGATATTATAGATGACCTCTTTGTTGGCCATAAAGTTCCTTTTTCACTCTGTCTACTGCCTCCAGGCAGGGATGCGTGACCATGTCACGGTCGCCATGTAATGTTTGGATTTAATAATGATTTTACAAAGCACGTTAGTGCTGGTTGACTTGGGTTTAGAGAATGAATTTATTCGAAGTTAAGTATTTCGCTTAGCCTATGGATACATGTACATATATACTTATGCTGTTATTGGTTAACAGCTACAAAGAGAGGGACAGTGAGTAGCTTGCATATGCCTGTGATAGTGAGCATATATGTTGCTCATGGAATGCGCTCAGACGGAGCGTGGGAAATGTAGCGTATAAATAAACGGTCAGCTAGAGAGGCTAGTGAACTGCGGAAAATCGCCGCATACCTTATATTTGTATATAGGGTGTTCTTTTAAGGCATATACACATACTATGTGTTTATAGGAAGTAAAAAAATAAAATGGTAAGTTTAATCGAAAGTTACTCGAGAAAGAAGGACTAATTTCGTCCCGCTGAAGACCCAACCTTTTCAAAATGCTCATAGTGCTTCGCCTGCATCTAAGAAGCACAGGAAAAACAAACAATGTTTCATAACCGATCGTTGCTATTGAAGCTATATGATGTAGTAGTCCAATGTAAATAGAGTTCTAATTAAATATAGGAAGCATAGTGAATTCTAGAAATGTAGAGTTTGGTCAAGATATCTAGAAAAACAAAAAGTTTTCAGTGCAACTTTATTTTCGACCGATCGTTCCTATGGCAGCTAAATGATATAGTGGCCCGATTGAATTGCAATTGAAAGAGGAAATTCTGCAAAGCTTGATGATGATACCTTTACAACTAAAAGACTGGTTTGCATTGAAAAAGACAGACGGACCGAAGGAATTTAGCGAGTTAATTTAGATTTTCGGATTTAAAAATATTGAATTTAGTTTTCGTTCGAAATTAGTCAGCTGTTTGGGGTTTCACTTTTCATTATTATATCAATCATTGCTGTGAAACTTGTAAAAAAAATTGTCAGGGAATGCAACAGTCTCTAACGACTTGAAAAATATAAGGAACTAATTTATTAAAATAAAAACTACCTCTGTCTCCTTTTCGACCTCTTTCTAACTGGCACCGCTAATTGTGACTCACATCTGGCGTTAGCTACATTTCTGATTCATTTGACATTTCGATTTCACAGCCGCATTACTGAATAAAATAAATATTTGTAATATATCTATGTATGTAGAGCTCTTTGTGCTGACTGAGCAAACCCGTAAGAGCTACGAAGCTGCAATTTTATTACTGTGGTGAAGGTGTGTGCGAAGACATCCGATCGGCCTCAAGCTAGTTTTCAAAGATTTTTGTTTGAATTAATTTGACCATTCAAATTCTTTTTCAAAAGAGTTTTTCCCATCACTTACCAAAAGGAACATTTGTGAGAGCAGGCAGTGGCCATTTACTTGAGGAGAAAAATTCTCTATCCAACCTTTCGTAGACGCCCTACTTCAATCAGGGCCGATTGTCATTTTTAAAGTTTTCTTAGTTTGAGAACGGTAGCTAGGAACCATCGAAGAAATACCAAAGTAAAAATAATAACAAATTTATGTGTAACAAAATACCAATATGCGAACAGCTGAGAGCCATGCCTTGCTATGTCCAACTTACCCAACTTCGTGGCGGGTCGCCTACAGAGACGCGTGTCACGCCATTCACATCGCTAAGCGACTGTGACCAGTCCCGACAATCGCCCAGCGAGCCCGGCCATGCTAGTGGCCTGACATTTCTGATGGGTTGATAGTGATGTTTGGCCTTCATTGCATTGTATGAACATTTATCCCCGACGCGCCAGGGTTCTCATCGGAGTACTGTAGGTCGGCGTATAGACGGTCTGGAAAACACTTCCTGTGCCCCACATTCCTAAACAAGTTATATAAGATAACTTTAAAAGAAAATACCGAATTTTGTAATTTTTTGAATATGTTCAATCTAGTTATATTTTGATAGTGATGTTTGGCCTTCATTGCATTGTATGAACACTCATCCCCGACGCGCCAGGGTTCTCATCGGAGTACTGTAGGTCGGCGTATAGACGGTCTGGAAAACACTTCCTGTGCCCCACATTCCTAAACAAGTTATATAAGATAACTTTAAAAGAAAATACCGAATTTTGTAATTTTTTGAATATGTTCAATCTAGTTATATTTTGAAATCATACGTAGACATAAACTCATAATAGCTTCAATAATACAGCTTGCAAATAGACATGTTAAACAGAGCCACACCACAATATTTAACTCATTATACCTCTTTGGACTTGGATCGCATGCTATTGGCTCGGCTCGTCCAAAGTATATAATAACTATGCAAATGGAAATAAATATTTTACCCATATATATACAGCTGCGTTCCCATCGACAGTGCGATTGGCGGTTATTTCCAAAGCGCCAGGGTCCTATTATTGGTTGAAATAAATACCACTTTCCCATGCAAAGTTCGATACAAAATGAGAAGCGCGCTGACCACCTGTAAATTTCCTTTGGTGTGCTGCTTGCCTGGTTGAACAAATTGGTTGAATTATGTCTTCGCTCCATAGGTGACGCACGCACCCAGCGTTGAACTCGAAAATTTTGAGTTCGCTCCGTAAGTATGTCGGTAAAAACTACACTTCGACAAAAATAGTGTGGATAAATGCCCGAGTTGTCATGACCGAGTGAAAGGCGTACAGGCAAATGGACAAGCTCCCGGTGAAGCCGAAATGATATAGTGTTATTGCGCTCAAAAGTCTTATAAACGGGGTCTTGGTAAACAATGACCTGTATTTGACCTTGTGACGATTGCAATGAAAGTATAATGTTTGCTGAAGATCCAGAGTTATATCTACCGCCAAATGTAACTTTGACAATAATGTCACCACTTTGGCAAAGCTCTCCACTGTATAGCTCTTCTAAGTAAAGTCGTTTGTCCCAGAGGGGTGCTCTCTGCATTTGAAAAAAAAGGTACGCCATGACTGCCGTTGGTATAACTACGTAGCAAATTATTATTTGATAATTACGACCTACTACTGGCCTCTCTAAATGGCATTTAAGATTCATACGGACAACAATAATTGGTTTAGTGTCGGCGTCCAGGTCGCTAATAAAATTACAGCGGCAATGAATACCAAAGTACACGCTTTTATTCATATCAGGAATGCAGGAAATAGTCTGCCAGCTGGGTTCAGGTCGTGCATAATTCCAGATTCGGCAACTTCGGATTTCGGTAGAAAAAGTGAAATATGCACCCGTATCTTGATAAGAGTCCCAGTGCTCTAAGCTGTTCTCTGCGCGAATATAAATGTAAACTGGACGTGCCTGCTCACAACGGTTACGAAGTAACAACGCGATAGGTTCTACAATCCCATTTTTTACCAAACATGTTGCATTCTGTGTGTCCATGTCTCTCAGCTTTGGTACGTTTGTCATATACAGTAACACACGGTAATCTATATCGGCCTTTGTAAAGATAACACCTAGCACAGAGTGTCCATAAAGTTCGGTACGATACATGCGAACTTCATTGGCATTTATCACGTTGTCATGTATAACATTCTCCACGTCTTCTTGGGGATCGTCGAAGTCGCTTCCTTTTTGACGTCGCCTATGTAGGAGCCTCCGATCACTGCACTTGGGTTCGATTGCTGAGAAATTCGTTTTAAGTCGGGAGATGTATTGAAACGGCTCAGACAGTTTCTTTGTTTTCTCCCAGATTGCGTTGGATGTATAGGCATTAACAACTAGTACCTGTGTCCGTGATTCTTGCTCTGGATACCACCAGTACTGGCTCTGCTTATGACTCCTCACTGAGATAAGAACTTCATCATTTCGTAGCTGTTGACGCAACTCTTGTAATAAGCTTTCCGTGAAAATAAGAGTATGCATAGAGTCAGCAGATTCTATCACTATATCACGCTCTAGGTCAAGATCAAAGCTCTCCATACGCATTGTAAAAGTTGTTCGAGTAATTATTTTCGGTGCTTCCTCAGGATGTTGACGTCGCGCCGTACCCATACCCATGTAAAATAGGCACATACTCAGCTTCCAATGCGCATGTAGCCAATTGTTTATATGTTCCAGACCCTGTGGTTGCAGGGTAGACATTTGTTCCAGGCGATGACGGAAGTTATCTGTGTTAAGGCAGGATTCTGATTCTGCCCGACACTGTGACTTTGGTATAAACTCCCATTCAGCACTAAACTTATTAAGCAGGTCGCAAAGATCGTTTACCATCGTTTGGTAGTATTCATCCATAAGAGTATTAAGCTCGTTATTAGCAATAATAGATTTAAAAGTGGACGCTATAATATGCAGTATTCGAGCAAGAACATTGACTTCCATATCATCCAAAGGCTCAAGAGAAAGAACTACATTTGATAAAAGGCGTACGAGATGAGCTAATTGCACAGTAGTTTGTGGTTGATATACTCCCAATGTTTCAGTGAAAACAACGAGACGCTCTTTAGAACTGATTCTTCGAGCCAGTTGATTAAGCAATATAAAAGATTTTTGCCAATCTGCATATTCTAGCCAGTATCGAGCGCGTGCTAGGTGATTTATAATTGAAGACTCTGTATCTTCTACGTCAGTATGACGGACATTGACAGTCACTTTTACAGTTACGCATGCACCCAAATTATCGCATACCTTAAATTAAAAATATAAAAAAATAACAAATTAAAAATTAAAAAAATTTATATAAACAGTAAAATAAATATTTGTTTTGGAAATTGGAAATCAACAGCCGAGTCGATATGGCCATGTCCGTCGGTCCGTCTGTCTATTTCTATGCGAACTAATCTCTCAGTTTTAAAGCTATCTTAATAAAACTTTGCAGAAATCTCTTTTTTTTGTTGCACGCAACACATATGTCAAAACCAGCTGAATCGGACCACTATATGATATAGCTGCCATAGGAACGATCGGTCGAAAATTAAGTTGTTGTATGAAACACATTTTGTTTTTTCAAGATATCTTGACCAAACTCGGCATTTATTAGTTTTACTATACTCCTCATATATAGGCAAAATCCTATTAAAATCGGACTACTATATTATATAGCTGCCACAGGAACGATCGGTCGAAATTTAAGTTGTTGTATAAAAAAAAAACACATTTTGTTTTTCAAGATATATTGACCAAACTCGGCATTTATTAGTTTTGCTATACACCTCATATATAGGCAGAATCCTATTAAGATCGGACCATATATAGCTACAATGGGAAAGATCGGTCGAAATTAAAGCTATTGTATACAAAAACATTTTGTTTTTCAAGATATCTTGACCAAACTCCGCATTTATTCATTACTATGCTCCTCATATATAGGCAAAATCCTAAAAGGATCGGACCACTATATCAAATAGCTGTCATAGGAACGATCGGTCAAAAATAAAGTTGTTGTATGAAACACATTTTGTTTTTTCAAGATATCTTGACCAAACTCGGCATTTATTACTTCTACTATACTCCTTATATATAGGCAAAGTCCTATAGGGATCGGACCACCATATCATATAGCTGCCATTTTATTTTTTCTTTAAGCTATCTTGATTAAACTCGGCATTTATTAGTTTTACTGTACTCCTCATATTTGGGCAAAATCCTATTAAGATCGGACCACTATATTATATAGCTGCCATAGGAACAATCGATCGAAAAGTAGATTCTTGTATGAAAAACATTTTGTTTTTCAAGAAATCTTGACCAAACTAGACATTTATTAGTTTTACTATGGACCACTATATCATATGCTGCCATAGGAACGATCGGTCGAAAATTAAGTTGTTGTGTTAAAAAAACATTTTTTTTTATCAAGAAATCGTGACCAAGCTCGGTATTTATTATACTCCTCATATATATGAAAATTCTATTAAGATCGGAATACCATATCATGTAGCTGCCATAGGAACAATAAGTCGAAAAGTAGATTCTTGTATGAAAAACATTTTGTTTTTCAAGATATCTTGATCAAACTCGACATTTATTATTTTTGGTATGCTCCTTATATATGTGCAAAATCCTATTAAGATCGGACCACTATATCACAAAGCTGCCATAGGAACGATCGGTCCTCATATATAGGCAGAATCCTATTAATATCGGACCACTATATCATATAGCTGCAATGGGAACGATCGGTCGAAATTAAAGTTATTGTATACAAAAATATTTTGTTTTTCAAGATATCTCGAGCAAACTCCGCATTTATTACTTTTACCCTATTCCTCATATATAGGCAAAGTCCCATAGGGATCGGACCACCATATCATATAGCTGCTGTAGGAACGACTGGTCGAAAAATAAGTTGTTGTATGAAAAAACATTTTGTTTTTTCAAATTATCTTGACCAAACTCGGCATTTAATAGTTTTACTGTACTCCTCATATATAGGCAAAGTCCTATAGGGATCGGACCACCATATCATATAGCTACCATAGGAACGACCGGCCGAAAATTAATTTGTTGTATGAAAAAACATTTTAATTTTTTTTTTAAGCTATCTTGACCAAACTCACATTTATTAGTTTTACTGTACTCCTCATATTTGGGCAAAATCCTATTAAGATCGGACCACTATATCAAATAGCTGCCATAGGAACGATCGGTCAAAAATAAAGTTGGTGTATGAAACACATTTTGTTTTTTCAAGATATCTTGACCAAACTCGGCATTTATTACTTTTACTATTCTCCTTATATATAGGCAAAGTCCTATAGGGATCGGACCACCATATCATATAGCTGCCATAGGAACGACCGGTCGAAAATTAAGTTGTTGTGTTAAAAAAACATTTTTTTTTATCAAGATATCGTGACCAAACTCGGCATTTATTAGTTTTACTATACACCTCATATATAGGCAGAATCCTATTAAGATCGGACCACTATATCATATAGCTGCAATGGGAACAATCGGTCGAAATTAAAGTTGTTGTATACAAAAACATTTTGTTTTTCAAGATATCTTGACCAACCTCCGCATTTATTAGTTTTACTATACACCTCATATATAGGCAGAATCCTATTAATATCGGACCACTATATCATATAGCTGCAATGGGAACGATCTGTCGAAATTAAAGTTATTGTGTACAAAAACATTTTGTTTTTCAAGATATCTTGACCAAACTCTGCATTTATTACTTTTACTATACTCCTCATATATAGGCAAAGTCCTATAGGGATCGGACCACTATATCATATAGCTGCCATAGGAACGACTGGTCTAAAATTAAGTTGTTGTATGAAAAAACATTTTGTTTTTTCAAACTATCTTGACCAAACTCGGCATTTAATAGTTTTACTGTACTCCTCATATATAGGCAAAGTCCTATAGGGATCGGACCACCATATCATATAGCTGCCATAGGAACGACCGGCCGAAAATTAATTTGTTGTATTAAAAAACATTTTATTTATTTTTTTTTAAGCTATCTTTACCAAACTTGGCTTTTATTATTATTATTATTATTATTAAGATCGGACCACCATATCATATAGCTGCCATTGGAACGACCGGTCGAAAATTAAGTTGTTGTATGAACAAACATTTTATTGTTTCTTTAAGCTATTGTTTGGTCAAGTAACAGCAGAGATAACACCGACGGCTGCGGACATCATCCAACAGCAGAAAATAACAATCATAATTACAGCCTAAGAGCAAATAGTTTTTTGCGCGCTCTTTGTAAGCTGCTGCCCACTCTCCTTCTGCATTGCTTTGCTTTGCATTGCTGCCCTTCGCTCTAACCGGCGAGCGTCTTATTGGAGTTTCGTTTCGATTCGCTTTACATATTGTCATAGTTAGTCAGTCTTCGTTTGATCGCAACCTAGGCACAACTAATTCGAGTTGGCTGCCAAGCAACAATATAAAACTTATAAATTCTATTAAGTGCCCTGCGCGGCAAATAAATCCATTTGAAAACTAATCTAAGTGTTTGAATTTCGCTGCACAAGCAGTTAGAATTAATTGGTTGCAAAAAGGCTTGCAACTACACATTTTGGTGACCCCGACGTGAATTTTCTTTCTTACATTTTTTCTATTTTTTTTTGTACTTCGTTCTTGTCGTGTCAACGGACAGTTATCAGTTCGGGCAAAGCGGTGTGGTGAGCCGTTTGCTTGCGCATCTGCATACAGTTGGTTGTTATACATAAACGCCGTAGCAAATCCCCGTTAATCGTTGCGCGCTATAACCCGCTATACGCTATCTCGCTCGAACGAACACTTGCGCGATCAGACTTGTATTGTAGTTCGGCTGTGTGAACCTTGTTGTGCGCTACATTCATAATGTTTGATGAAGGTGCAAGTGCAAATGGAAATGATGAGGCGACATCAGCTAGTCAAGTGGCGGTTGGAACCCAGGCTGCTGTTTTTAAAATAAAGATCAAGAATTTAAGTGATCGACTCAATAGATTGTCCTCGGAACTTGATCCCGCTCGACTTCGCGATGTTGATGACTACGAGCTGCAAGATTACATAAGCACGGCATCTGACTTGCAGGCGAAATTTGAGACAGTCTGTGATGGTTTGTTGGAGGTGGATCATGCCAGCGTTGAGGAGGATCTTCAGACAAGTTTTGAGTCAACTATTAGGCAGCTACGGCTGTCCCTTCAACGCGAGCGCGGAAATCGAAGCAAGGTTCAGCAGATTCCGCATTGTTCCACCTTCAATTCAGCCGCAGCCGATGACTCGCGTTCTACCTTTGTTGTTCCAAACCACTCTCGATTGCCTCAACTTAAATTGCCGGAGTTTAGTGGAGGCTACACAGAATGGGCCGATTTCTCGAACCTGTTCACCACGGTCATTGACAAGGATCCGTATTTGACCAACATAGAAAAACTCCAGCATCTACGGTCATGCCTTAAAGGAACAGCGCTGGATACAATTCGCTCATTGGAAATTTCAAACGCTAATTATGCTGCCGCTTTAGAACTGCTTGATAAGCGTTTTAATAACAAGCGTCTTATTTTTCGGGCACACATCGCTGAAATTTTGGGTTTGAGAAAGGTGGACAAGGGCGCGACTGCACAGCTGCGCGAATTTTCAGATAAGCTCAACTCTCATCTACGTGCTTTAAAATCGATGGGCAGTGTGGAACAGATCGCCGGTTGCGTCATAGTACATACGTTGCTGCAAAAACTAGATAGCGTTACGCAGGCTAGCTGGGAGGATGATGCGCCGTTGGACGTCATACCATCATGCGAGCGGTTTACAACCTTCATAGAGAGGCGTTGCCAAAGGCTGGAAAATGCGGATCACGCTACAGCAATGTACACGCCTAGCTCCCAGGTGGGCCAGAACAACAGTAGTAGAAGAACGTTTGTAGTGACTAGGAATGGAACGAGTGCTTGTGTGTTTTGTGAAGTCGCAGGCCACTCTATTTATAAATGTTTGCAATTCGCAAATTTATCGCCCTTGCTGCGCCTTCACGAAGCCAAGCGGCTTGCGCTGTGCCTAAACTGCCTGCAAAGGGGACATCAGCTGAGAGTCTGCGGCTCCAGCGCTTGCAGAGTTTGTGGAAGCAAACATCATAGCTTGTTGCATCTTGGCAACACAAGCAGTCACATCGCTGCTTCTAGCCCAAACAATGCTCAAGATACCGAAACTTATTCGTCATCCCAAAACACCTTGGCGGCACTTTTATCTTC